GTTGCATTTTATATTAGGTGTCAGTTTTGTACGTAAACAAAAAAAAAGTTCTGTGTTTTTGTTCGATTAACACCCAATTCCCAATTCCAGCTCCTAAGGTAACGCTGCCAACCATTACCCCCGTAATGTTCAGCCAGAGCATCCAGTACAGCCGCCACTGCCGAAGCCGGTGTGTACGATCCGCGATCCTCATCCGGACTTCAAACCCATCTTCGATATATCGGATGAAATCAAAGTGAAAACCAGTGAGGAAGACCAAGAACACATATTCTGCGTTCGCTTCATGTTTCTGTACATGGTTCAGAAAGAGTGGAAGGAAAGAGGTCTTGGCTATCTGAACATTGTCAAGAGTAAATTTGATCCGACCAAGTACAGGATTATCGCTATGGACTTTGGAGACGAGAAACCGAAGAACGAAACATGCTCCGAATGTAATTAATAATAGAAAATACCTACTACTACCATAGAGGTAAATCTAAGACCAGAAGGTCCCGAAGAAACGAGCTCAACTTTTTGGCTCAGCTCTGGTACTATCTTCGGTCCCAAGCTAATCTATTCACCCCTCGAAACATAGGAAAATCCACGAACCCCTCATTTTATCTGTCAAACTTTCATAGCGAATCAAAACAAACATAGTGTAGTACTAGAATTTTGACTAGAATGGGGTACCTTAATCGATTTGCTTGGGAACAATTGGCTAGTCAAGTAGTGAGCCAATTTAAAATCGTTAGTTTCGTATTGATTGTTGTTACTACTACGCAAAAAACAACTGTTATCCTTCTGAGAGAAATATCTTCTCTAGCTTTACATCACTTGCTCGTAAGTGTACGCGTGTCGAAAAACGCACGTACGTAGTGATGTTCAACTTCAACGGAGGCTTCCGTCGAAGGCCGCAGAAGAATTTCGGTAGTGTATCGCAGAAACCGGACTATATCACGATCATCCAGAAGGCTACAGCAGTAGCTCCAGAAGTGGGAGAATGTCCACTGGCAGCAAAACGGCGCCGTGGTAATTCAGAACTCGGTTCGCAATTACGTCCAGCGGCAGGCTGTTAAGAGATGGGAATGAGATCGTTCCGACTAGCGCCAGAGGACGTGTGGGGTACATAACATTTACCGGATCTGAAGTATTTGGTCAGGCGAGTTGTTCTACATCAAGCCGCATGTTTTCCTTTTTTGTTGGTTTGTTTGACAGCAGCTTCTCGGCTTCGCATCTCCAAATGTTGCTGTGAGCTTGAGCTTGATTGACCGCCCACGGTTGCTACTCTGTTACTGCCAGATCAGCTGTAATTACACAGAGAACCAATAGACGATGCTTGGGACTAGCAATCATCCTCAATGTGTAAAAACTGGTGATCTTAAATTAGGCAATAACAGCGCCGGCCGCGCCCGAACACAGGTCAAGAAAGGAACGGAAAGGATTGTGTTGACATGACACTCGCTTTGATGGAAGCCGAGAACACCTCTGCACTTCCACGAGGAATCACTGGGATGTTGGATAAGAGGGTTGGTTTTGCAGCAGGGTTCGTTTTGGTAAACGATAAGCTGAATTGATGTCCTAACGATCATATAACGCGAAGGAGCTTGGGACTAAACCCACGGTCTTCTGCTCAGTAAGCAAAAACGTTTGCCACTAGGCAGACAAGCACCTTTTTAATCACCGAGTTGCTGTTATTATCATGTAGTCATATTAACAAATAAAACGATTGACGAATCTTGAATGTGGATGGGCCTGAGATAAGACTCATGATGTTCTGCTCAGTTAACAAAAACGGTTGCTCATATCACATAATACCGTTGCTCAAATTTGTGTATCCATTCAAACCCGGAACCAACGACAACAACGAGTTTCGCAAAATACACGATACACAAGCGATTTTACCATAAATCTCTTTGATATGTAAGGACCTGGGACCGCGTTTTTATGCTCAGTAAGCAGGCCACTGTAACCAACGATCTTTCAAATCCGAAAACTAAAAACTACGAAAAAGTACTTAGGCCTTCATTAAGTTCCACTTTCACGTGACGTTCAATGACAGGGTCCTATCCAGGATTACATCTGAAAAATCCAAATCTGGCCAACGCTCACCTAAACCTGTTCTAATCCACCTGAAATGACTAACGAATGGAAGACTTTGACTACCCAGCCATGCAATAGTCTCATTCCGTGCCTTATGGCAACTTGATGATTCTATTGCGCTCATCTTTTGGCACCACCCAGGGAGACTTGGTCCTGTACCCAATGCTTAACTTATCTCCATTCCACTCAGCTACTCGCAATTTCTTGTGATATAGTGGGCGGAATATTATTATATGAGACAATTCAATGCAGACGTCTTTCCAAATTGGGCAGATCGACAGGTAATCGGTGAGTTACCACGATAGTTGCTATTAAACAACTCGACAACGTCCCATCGTCAACGCCTGCTATGAGAATTTCCCATTGCAGACGCTAACGAAATGACGTCATCGAGCTATCGATCAACTACCCTGGTTATCGCCTGGTACCTTATAGCACGATGCTAGGAGGCGAACCGGAAGAATCGATGAGCTACCTCTCCCCCACGCATCTCCAAATGTTGCTGTGATGCGAAAAATAAGAAAACAAATGACAGTGATCTTGCTCACTGAGTAATGTGAGTTACCCGAGGTGCATCAAAAGCAACTCTGAAATTGCTCATGATTAGGAGCTGGCTTGCCCATTGGTTTGAAACTTTTGGAATGCGGCATCACACTACCTTTGAATTTGGCTTGATCGAGTGACGATTTTCTTTTCTTTAGATCAAAACGATGAAGTTTTGAAGAAGACAACGATATACACTACCAGCATGCTAGATCAACATATAGCCATGATAGAGGGATAGAACATCATTTTATTTTCATAAAAATAAAACCATCATAACAGATTATCAGGAAAGCCCGAGGGGGGCGATACATCTAAATCTCAATTCTAGATGCTCAAAAAATCTCATACTAGCGAATCAATCTTCGAAAAATCATCTTTCATTTCTCCCATCTACTTGCATTGTGCTTCATCTTTTTGCAGGAAATCTTCAAAATCGACATAAATCTTCCTTCTATCTATTCAGCGTGCGTGCAGCTAGCCACAGCAAAACACAATTCTTTCTGCATCGTAGATAGAGTCGTCCCTCTCGGGAAAGCCCTTAAGTATGGGATCCCGGAGAAGACGAAAATTGGAAAACCATGCTTCACATGGAAAACCAGCCCCAATCACGGTGTAGAAGACAAGAGGTGGCTGAAGCGATTTACAAAAACAGCCACGACAAGATTGTTCACTGAAATGGTGGAATCAGAATTAACCATGACGTTTACTACCACTCGAACTAAGAAATAAAACATTATTTTGAGACTTTTGCTTCTAGTACCACGAGACAAGTAGCCAACATTTGTGCGTTTCATAAAAAAATAGAAATTAGTTAGTCCAGTTTTGTGAAATCGTTGGTAGAAACGAAGACTCGGAAGATACGCTCAGTGATTCAAGTTAACCAGAGCCCTCACGGAGACAATCTTGACGAAATAACTCTAGGAGTTAAAAGTCAAGTAAATGCTAATGCCTAGCCTCAGGGATTCAAGTAGCGATGCTCAACTGAACATTCCGGATTTCAGAGGTTTCTCTAACGACGAGGATGATGCCTTTTCAGGATTCGTCTAATTAGTATCATAATAATATACCATCGCGCTATTGACAAACACTGTGATGGTAAAATCAACTAACAACTTCCTTTACTCTTTACCAATCTCGATCATTATTAACAGGTAAATATGCATTTTATTCAATTAGTATATTATACTGTCATTATCATTGCAACTAATTCATTTAGGCATATTCAATTGACCTGCATTGGGTTATTATTTTGCATGCAATGATATGGGAAAAGAAGGGGACTCCAGATTCAGCATGGAGAGTGTATGGGAGCCGTTCTTGGGGTTGTTTGGGGCATGTTATTCATTTGAGACGTTATAGTTTGACGTGATCACCATGATCACCTCACCTTCTGGGATGTGGCTTTGAGACTTGAGATTTGGCCTTCATAAGACCCCCTTCTGTCTCGCAAAATCAAAATCAAAAACCTGTACACATTTACGTATTCTTTTGTGTATTTTCCGAAGTGTTTTTGTTTTAAATCTTCATTATAGAGTTTTTTAGCCGAACCCTAATAAAAATAACCATAAAAGAGAGCTTAACGACGTGTTCGGGGTATCATCCAAGCCATTTGTGGGATAGTTTACCCATACGGGATACAGTTCGTTTATGGTATTTGTTTATTAGGGAAGTCATTAAAAAAATCAATTCTTCCGACCACCCTGACATGGAAATGGTCACCCTAATGACAAAATAAATAAAAATACTGGTCTTATATTTTGCGATGATTGGCTGTTTGTCTACCCGCTTCTTCTATTTCCTTAATGGAATGTGTCTGAATCAAAGCATGGCTCATTAAATCCTGATATTTGTCGCTTGAATTAGAGAACAATTCAAGAATTGTTCGATTTGGTGAGATGTTTGCAAGCACCGCACATACAACTGTAGATTTCAAGTATTTCGTTCGGGCCGGTGTGGAAAATGGTAACCCTAATAAAAATAACCATAAGCGAACGATAACCCAAATCATTGAACTATTCCACAAATGGTTTGGATGATACCCAGAACACGTCGTTAAGCAAATTAACCATACAACTTTTATTAGGGAACTTAAATATTATGACTCTGATAGCAACGACCGGTGTGGAGAGGAGTAACGTCTGTTACAGTTGCTCCTGGCGGTAGATCCTACCAAGAAAGCTTCCTGCATACTGCTGGGTAGTTGCCCATTTGTTTTGACGGCTCTTGCCTTTTCCCTCTCGTTCACCCCTTGGTGCTCGCACGTTCTGAGCGTTTCTCTCTTTCTTGCTCATTCGATTACTTGTTTGGGGGGTTGTTTCGCATCCAAGCCGGTTCACGTTCATCACTTTTGTTGTGTTCGTCCAAGAGACCAGACGTAAAGAACGACCAACGGCGGTGTTGTTTGGTTCTGGGAAGATACAGCATCTGTGTTTTTGTGAACCATCATCAGCATCACCATCCATCACATCACCAGCATCGAGAGTCACGACGTCGCTTCTCTCGTTCTCGGTGTGATGCCTTGATTGTACTCCAGCCACGGAATTAGGCGCGCGCGTGTGTGTTCGAAAATTGGTAGGATTTATTTGATACCAACATAGTGTACTCGTACTGTAGAATATAAAATAAGAAGTGATCGTCTGATACCAGTGACCAGTGAGTGAGTTTCATCATCGAATGAAAATAATACTCAATCAAGAAGTCGATTAAATGAGCCAAGCAATAAAAAAGTGAAGACCCAACGATGCTCAGCCTACCGAAGAACATCGAAAACATCTGCCGCCTGTGTCTGACGGAGTCGGTGGATGGAAGTGACATGTTGCCATTATTTCCGGTGCGCGGAGGAAACCCCTACGGACCCAATACGGTCGTCTCCAAGATCTTGCAGTGCACCACGGTGAAGGTAGGGCAAAAATCGATTTTCAACACGACGAATTCTGGGGCTTTGGTTGGGGCAATCCCTGGGGGGGTCTAGCCTAGCGACTAATGGGTTCGGAACCCCCCTTTTTGCCAGTGGGGGTTGGCCTCGATATACCCAACAAAAGCCGCAAGATAGGATGCGACGAGGCTGTTTCATTTCAGGTTGGTTATGGCAACCAAAGAGCTCTTATTTTTGATGAGGGTCATTTAGAGCTCGTCGGGGCCTTTATTGGTGTTGGTAAACGGCTACACGACCGACGATGTTCAGTTATATTTAGACGCTCCACAGCGCAGCAGCACCATTTGGTTCAAGTTGTACATACGAATCAAGGGCTATACAAAGAGCTCGACATGTCGTGGGATGGGTTTGCTTAGGAGACCCGGGTAGTCGTTTAGTAGCGTAGGTAGATACGAACGAGATCGGCTTACCAACCATAAAACCTACTGCTGGCTGACTGCACACACACCCAAAGAAAGAAGGACAAAATATGAGGGTAGAAAAAGGGTCCAAGAGTCGAAGTTATTTCACCAAACCTGGGATAAGCGATGAGGGATATCGAGAAAAATGATTTCACTTCACCAACCGGGTAGGGGACCGGCAGACCTTTTCCCCTATACACACTCTCTCGCTGCTCACCCGTGTTTCTTGCTTTCTGCCGCTTGCCCTGAAAATGCCTCGTAGTGTTTTGAAGAGCGTTGGTCGTATTCTTCCCAGCTTTGCTTGCTCGTCTGCTCTGCCAGGGACTTATGTAGTAGCAGTGTAGATTGGTTGGGTTTCTGTTGTCATGATGGGTCGGGTTCTTCTAATCCCAACAACTCGGGTTTCAATTCGGTGCACACACAGCCCCAGGGGTAGGGATGATCAGGTTTTCGGTAGTGCGTTCAACGGAAATTGAAGCAATGGGTGATTTGTCTGACAGGGATTTTCGTACTATATAGTCACGGAGCACTTTTTGGGATACGGATCCCTATGACAATTGGGTTCTTTAAGGGTATTGTGGTAAATGCATATTCGTAATCTGCATTAAAAATGGAACCGGAATTAAAAATTTCATCAATTTTAGTTCACTGGAACTATTTCAAATAAGTGCGATTACATTAGCAAAAACAATCTTAGCGCCCCTCGGTGGGACTTTGCATGGGTGCGAGCTGTCAATTTGTTAGTTTAGTGTCAAGCGCAGTCAAAAGTTATTAGTTCGCTTTAAATCTTGATCTTGATAAAAATCAATGGGTTCGAAAAACGTGCTCAAAAAACAAAGCTCTTTCAGATGATGTATAGAAATTGATATTATTTTCAATCCCAAACACAATTCCCAACTGAGCACAAACAACCATTGGAAGGACGTTGTTCAGTTGTGTTCAGCTTTTCGCAAAACAAGAGAGTTATTTTCAACTGAAAGTGCGATCGGTTTGAACCTTTTGGACACCTTGAAACTGGATAATGGTGCAGATTTTCGGAACTTATGGATTTTGAAAATTTATGGATAGTAGACGGAGCAAAAATATTCACATTAGAATCAATTTTACTGTCTATTAAATCTAATCTTATCTAAAACAACCGTACTGTCTGCGGCTATACCTATATATCATTGGTATTTGCAGCATATCTGAGAGCACAAACATCAAAACGACCTGGCCTACTGCGTTGCATTTGCCGCACAGATGATTCTTTGAAATCTAGATAGAGCTGGAATTAGGGCATAACAGCTTTTGTAAACAATGACTTCTCTCGATGATTTCTCGGAAGCCATGGCTCTCCCTGGCAAATTGACATCACCGTCGAGTAGAGGAAGACTTCTCCTACCCGATGTATATGTTGGTCTGTGTAGGCGTGCCTTGCATTCCGAAAAATCAACGAGAGAAGTCATTGTTTACAAAGGCTGTTACACCCTAATTCCAGCTCTATCTAGAAATGGTTCGAGTTTAAATAAATATATTTAAAAAGCGATGCATACAGGGGTGGAATGATGCGTGGACATACCGTTATGTAGAAGTGAATTTAACAATCATACGTGATGTAATGAATGGTTTATATGATATATTATAATTGAAGGATCTCACCAAAACCGGTCTGCTTGACTGTGATCATCGACTTTTCCGAGCTTCAAATGGAGTACTATTTTGTACTAGTATGTTGGAGGTGCGGCCTACCACGATCGTCCTCAGTTTTACTTTCTACTTTCTTTTAAAAAGAATAAACAGTACAGAATGAAAAGATAAGAAATCGATTTAAATGTATGAAACATTACAATGTTATAATGACAAAATATCACTGCAACTGCAGCAGCTGTGCATAATTTCAATTCTTGAACTTCTGCGAACTTCATGGATGTTTTGCAAGCTTCAGGTAACTTCAACGATTCCAATGACGATCTACGAACTCCCGAAAAATTATATGAACTTCAATGTAGCTCAGGAAAGTTATGCAAAATTCAGAAAAAAAAATCTACTTCAGAAAAGATTTGCAAACTTTAAAGGCATTCTGAAAAAAAAATGCCTTGTTCAGATAAGTTATGCGAACTTCAGGGAACTTCTAAAAACACCAGGAAAGCTTGAAGAACTTCGTGGAGGTTCTACGAAATCCAGGAAAAACTCGAAATACAGAGAAGTTCTCCGATTTTTACAAAAGTTATGTGAACTCAATGAAGTGGAAAATTCAGGGAAATTCCGCGTGAAGACGAATCTAGAACCGCACTATTGTTCATACTGGCGACAACGCTCTGATGACACACAACGAAACGTCACCTCAAGCTCCTCTCCTGATCCTATCCTTTGACAATGTACACCTCTAACCTCGAGTAAGACGCGAGAATTAAGTAAATTTTTGTTACAAATGATGAACAATGAATTATCGGCTCCGTAGAGCTAACGCGATTGTGCCTTCCAAATAAACGAACTAAACAAAAAGGGAAATTCCGTTGATCTACGAGCTTCAAGGAAGTTAAATGAAATTCAGAAATGTATTGCAAGCTTTGAAGACGTCATGTGAGCTGCTGGATTCGTAGATCTTAAAACTTCTCCGAAGTTTATAGATTTTCTCCGAAGTTTATGGAACTTTTAGGAGGTTGAAAACCTTGTTCGAAATTCGTAGAGCTTGTTTGAAGTTCGTAGAACTTATTTGAAGTTTGTAGAACTGATTCGAGAGTTCTGTGAATTTCACAAAAGTTCTGTAAACTTCAAGGAGAGTTTCATCGACGATCGTATAACATCCCCAAAGCTCGTAGCAGAACTTCTCCGAAGTTAATGGAGCTTCTCCGAAGTCCAAAGAAAATTAGTAGAACTAACCTTATCTTCAAAGAAACTCCACAAACTTCTGATAGAAGTTCCACAAGCTTCTCAAAGAAGTTCCACAAACTTCTCAAAGAAGTTCCACAAATTTCTCAAAGAAGTTCCACGAACTTCTCAAACAAGGTGCACAAACTTCTCAAATAAGTTCTACAAACTTCTCAAAGACGTTATACAAATTTCTCAAAAAAGTTCCACAAACTTCTCAAAGGCGTTCTACAAACTTATTAAAGACTTTCTACAAATTTCTCATAGCAGTTCCACAAGAATCTCATAGAAGTTCCACAAACTTATAAAAAGAAGTTCCACAAAGTTCTCAAAGAAGTTCTACAAACTTCTCAAAGAAGTTCCACAAACTGCTCAAAGAAGTTTTACAAACTTCTCGAAGAATTTCTACAAACTTCTCAAAGACGTTATAAAAACTTCAAAGAAGTTCCACAAACTTCTCAAAGGCGTTCTACAAATTTATAAAGACTTTCTACAAATTTCTCATAGAAGTTCCACAAACTTCTCAAAGAAGTTCCACGAACTTCTCAAAGAAGTTCCATAAACTTCTCAAAGAAGTTCTACAAGCTTCTCAAAAAAGTTCCACAAACTTACCAAAGACTTTATACAAACTTCTCATAGAAGTTCCACAAACTTCTCAAATAAGTTCCACAAACTTCTCAAAAAAGTTTTACATACTTCTCAAAAAAGGTGCACAAACTTCTCAAAGAATTTCTACAGACTTCTCAAAGACGTTATAAAAACTTTTCAAAGAAGTTCCACAAACTTCTCAAAGGCGTTCTACAAATTTATCAAAGACTTTCTACAAATTTCTCATATAAGTTCCACAAACTTCTCAAAAGAAGTTCCACAAGCTTCAAGAGGTTCCACAAACTTTTCAAATATGTTTTACATACTTCTCAAAAAAGTTCCACAAACTTCTTAAAGAAGTTCCATAAACTTCTCAAACAAGTTCTACAAACTTCTCATAAAAGTTATACAAACTTTCAAAGAAGTTCCACAAACTTCTCAAATAAGTTCCACAAAGACGTTTTACAAATTTCTTAAAAAAGTTCCACGAACTTCTCTAAGCAATTCCAAAAGCTTCTCGAATAATTTCTAAAAGCTTATCAAAGACTTTCTAAAAACTTCTCATAGAAGTTCCACAAGCTTCTTAAAGAAGTTCCACAAATTGTTCAAATAATTTCTACAAACTTCTCAAATAAGTTTTAAATACTTCTCAAAGAAGTTCCACAAACTTCTCAAACAAGTTCCACAAACTTCTCAAATAAGTTCCACAAAGTTCTCAAAGACGTTTTACAAATTTCTCAAACAAGGTGCACAAACTTCTCATATAAGTTTTACAAACTTCTCAAAGAATTTCTACAAACTTCTCAAAGACGTTATAAAAACATTTCAAAGAAGTTCCACAAACTTCTCAAAAGCGATCTACAAATTTATCAAAAACTTTCTACAAATTTCTCATAGAAGTTCCACAAACTTCTCTAAGAAGTTCCACAAACTTTTCTAAGAAGTTCCACAAACTTCTCTAAGAAGTTCCACAAACTTCTCTAAAAAGTTCTACAAACTTTTCAAAGAAGTTCCACAAACTTCTCTAAGATGTTCCACAAACTTCTCAAATAATTTGAACAAATTTATCAAAGACTTTCTACAATTTTTCTCATAGAAGTTCCACAAACTTCTCAAAGAAGT